TTACGTCATCGTGTAGAGAACGTGTGTCAACTTAAAACGAAAAGGGTTATAAGGTAGTGAACAGGACGGGTGTCTGACGTCAATTTGCATCGTTAGAGGACGTGAACGCCGTCCTCGTCCACACAAACGAAAAGCCCCTAGTAATACTTTTAGGTCTGGTAAGATGGGGAGCGGTAGTGGAGAGGTTAAACAGACTGTGACATTCATAGAGTGACTGTCCTTTCGAAGTGAACCCGTCGAAGGCTGTTCGAAGTAAGACAGACGGAAATCAGCAATCAATTTTGATCGCTGTCGAGCGCTAATGCCAATTTGATGCCGTGCCAATAACGTGCATTCCGCGTCATTTTTCATTTATATTGAAAGAGAAGTCATTGCCGTCAAATTGTCACCTTTCCCCTAGTTTGAATTCTCGTTATTGACAGTGTCGGGAATGTGAAATTAAGGAAATGCTGCACAATAATTGTTGAACGGTGCTGTATACTAAAGGAAGTGTGTTCCCCATTAGTTCCCGGTTGTCACCTAGTATCCTATATTGTACAGGACATAATTCAATTTAACAGGACTCGCGTCATTCATGTATTCCTCCAAATATCAACACGACTCTGACCTTGACTAATAAATGCATGTCACATCTTTCCGGCATAACAAGTGCTAATGACACTGTACTTGACTGTTGATTATAATGACATTAAAATGTCAAAAATCACTTTTCGAGCCTTGTTCACATTATTGATCCATAAGGATTTACGATTATTTTAGCAAATAACATGTACATTTATTGTCCAAGTGGTATGGGGGGAGGGGGGGGGGGGGTAAATCCTTTCTGTCCCTTTGAAACCCAAATGGCATATCTTGGCTTTAGTACACACGTCCAACATATTTTTGTTTTGATTTGTTTTATATAAGTGGTTTTGGGCTGGTCAGAGAAGTCTTGGGTTTTGTGCCCATCTTTTACCAAATCCTGAGAGCTTGTTGGTAGATCACAAGACAGTATATCGTCACCGGGAAATCTAGGGTTCGAAACCAAGTTCCATGTCCTTTTGTAAGGCTAATTCCAAGACATTGTTCTCGTCCAGCACAGAGTTGCCTTCTCAGCTATCCGGGGGAAATACTATCAACTTTCTGACTAGTAGGCTTGACTATTTCCTGCGATATAGCAGTCGAGCCTGCTCACCTTATCTATGACTATGGGTAGTATTGAGACTGACTCTGAAATCGTTATTAATCTGGGATCTGCGGTTTGCAAGACCCCTCCTCTGAACATCTACCGATAGTCGGAAACGGGAACAAACTGATAATCTGGACTACTTATCCCAAATTTAACAACAAAAACGAATTATTTGATATTGCATTCAGTTCCTCTTTTCTTCATGACGAATATGCGTACGTGACACAACATTTGAAAACTGTCCAGTCACAGCAATTCATATCTTCTTTATATCTTCTACTTGCGGTACAGAGTTTCCTAAGAGGACGCCGGAGATTTCAAAGCGAATCCTTAGATTTGTAATTTGAGAAAAATCAGAATAATGGCAGTACCTGAGCATTTTCTGTCAACAGACTATCTATGTTACTCATCGGATTGCTGTAATAACTTTCCGGCCTTGCTAGTTCGCCGATGTTTTAAGAGGAGATAAGGGTCGATTCCTGGTGATGAACAGTTCCTCTCAATTAGTGAACACATGTCAGGAATGAGTGCACCTGTAAATAGCGATAAGATCCAAAGATCGTCATTTGAGAGATAAACTACATAATTATGCACGTATGTGTAACCCGCTGCCGAATTTTACAAGTGAGCGAATGTTAGAATGAGGAGTACGTTTGGCATAAGGACAATATTTTTGTATTATTGCATGCATTAATGATATCAATATCAACATCTATTATGATTCATGTACTAAAAGAGGCATAATTTACCCGACGTAGGCTTGCGTCAGCGACCGACGCAGCGTTTAACGCACCATTGAGGTAGTGACGGAATGGAGAGAGAATGTCATAGACATGATAGAGGTGATGTTACAAAGAGAGAATGCTATAGAGGTAATACGAAGACATAACGCAAAATAGACAGAGCATAACTAAAAACAATGCGTTGAATTATTGGCGTATGCACTAACTGCCTTCACAGGCTTCATGAGCGTAGGTATGAACGCAGTCAAATGGACGCCTCGTGTGCGCCAGGCGTAATGAATGTGAGCCTTGTATTTGCGTCTCGTTAACATTGCTCCAAACTCAACTCATGTGTGGTTTAATAACACATTCAATATTTACATATTGACTTTGTACGCTCCTGATCAAAACTGACTGTTTACACTTGATCGTGAAGGGCTCCATCGTGTATGCGTTAGCGCTCTTAATTAATTGACTTAATTAGCCTAATTCCTCGATCTCTCAATTCAGGATAAAGGGGGAAACTATTGACGTACATGATGTTTTTGTCGAGAGCAAATTTGATTATTACGCGGGTGAAAGGATGGCGTGTCTGTATATCTATTTTCGGACGTTTTAGGCAAATACATGGTAGCTGATACTAGATTCGTTCTCTAATAAATGCAAACATCATGCTGTATTCTGTATACCGGGTTACGATTGCGTAAGTAATGTTCGCCATCTTCTGTACATGGTACATCTCTGTTCTCTCTATGTTATATGTAGGCCTGCCTCGTTCCAGTTTAGAAATGTGTAGGAGGAGAAGTGGAGGGGGCACACCCCTTTAAAAGTTATGTTTGCATTATGATTATTATGATACCTTTTATAAATTGTTATAACCCCCAGCACACAAGAGGGTCTTTTTGATACAAGCAATTGAATATGCGTCCTTAGCGTATCAACGTCTAATAGGGGGGGGGGGGGCAGGTGTCGCCCAGTGGAAAGGATGAAAAGATGGGGGAGAAAGGGATAGTTAAAAGGGAAGGGTGGACAGATTCGAGGACCCCTTCAACATCCGCCGTCTATTAAAATCGCTGACCTGTTTCATTTTCTAATTAATCTACCAAGTAAAACCAGTACATGCTCCCCCTCCTCCCATGAAGCAAGCTAGGTCCCTTCAATAACCAGTGGATCTACGCTACACCACTCCTAGGAGTATTACAGATAAGACAAGGGGGGTAAAAATGGTCTTCAGGCCTCCCAACACTTGGTATCAGGGGTGGGGAAGTATCGGGAGAAAAGTGGCCCTTTCTAGTTTCCGCTCATTACTATATAGACAAATAGAATGAAATATGCTTTCAGTATAATTAATAGTGTATGTTTGTTGAGTATGATAACTTACCTTTGAATGTGAATGTAAATATGGATAGGCTTTAAAATTTGAATTTTTTAAATAGGCCCAGTCCTACTATAATGTTCGAAACACATTTTTTTAATTAGAATATATCATAACCCACTTTTACTGAGGACTACTGGCTATGTGAATGTCACGGTGGTATGAAGTGTGATAAAAATTATCAGGTCTTTTTTTTATCAGTGAAGCATGTGCCATTGACATGTAGTTCAGAAAACAATCGGCTACACACATAAAATTTAGGGGTAGAAATGTAACTTTATGCAAAATTTCTGAAATTATCAACTACTGAGAATACCCGTCATTTTGCCATTTTTATGTTGAAATTGTCTTTTTATTATTGTCTTTTTTGCTTTCAGTTTTACGTCAATTTGAATATTATTAAATAGACTTCCATACGTGCCCTCTAAACAAACACAAACACGTGATTATAAAGTGATTTGGTTGGAGATATCAATTTAGTTTTTGTTTGGATTCCGATAATTTATTCATGATTTCATGCACTTCATGCTCTTACTATCGCATAAATTATCACGCATTTAAAGGGAGACAACTTCCACTGTACACAAAGGGGAATTCATAGCGCAATGCCGGAAAGGACTTATTTCCTGAGTTTGGTATCGGAGGGGGTAAGGAGGGAGAAAGGAAGTTGTTGAGTAAAGGAACGTTAAGACAGCGGGTTAACAACCTACTGTCTCGTTCCATTTCCAGATCCAGAGTCAGACTGTGAAAATATAGTTTGAGTTTAAGTTAAAGGGGGGGGGGGGTAAGGTGTCCATAAAGAGAAGCTCGAGTAATGGTAAAGTTGAACATAATCGCGAGTATTCCAGTTCTTTTTTTGTTGTTAAATAGTTTGAAAGTATATATCATAGTCTAAATTTTCCCTGAACAGTGCTATTTTTGTTTGCACTTATCTCATTTCGTAAGGGAAATGTGTTGGTATGTATTAAGTTAATATGCAAACATATCAAATGCATCAAGAAATGTTTAATTAGATTTCCTATTATTTAAATTGAGGTTACCCATAGAGACTCCCCATTTTGTGCATATTTCATAAAATCAACTCAACATTATTGTCTTATTGAAAAAAAAACGAAAAAAAAACGAAAATCATCTACAAATCATTACAATAAATTAAGGTAGCGGGATCATTAGAGGCATATACCCCCCAAAAGCGGAGGACTAACCCTATACTGAATAGATTATTGAGTGAAGTTAGTATGTGATGATGGCCTAGCTATATTACAATTTCGTATTGTATTTATTCAGGGATAAAACACCTCCCTGATTTATTCAATTGGAAAGTCATTTAAAATTTGACATTTCGTGTAACAATATCATAAAGACATTGTTGTGAAACTGATGAAAAGAAGAGCTCATTATCCACATTGCTTCGTCAAATACTGTAGCCATCTGCATTATGATATTATGCGCTAGAATTTATAGCAACTGAACTGACTGAGCATCCAGCGAAAGCCAACCTTGTCACTGACGAAGAAAAAAAGGTTTCTTTCTGTCATCGTCCTGTGTAATGCCTGTGTAATCCGCGACCTTGTTCTATAATCAGTCAGCTCTCATGAAAGATCACAAATTTAGCAGGCAGCTTGAAGAACCTACCATTATAATGCCACCACTAATAGCTATAGCAGCACGCGCGCAACGGACGCCTGCGCATTTCCGCTCACCCCCGCAACTATGCACGTACAATTTACAATCGCATTTTGTTCGTCAGTTAGCGAAGCAGCATTTGCAGGAAGCGCATCTATCGCCTGCTTCTCATCGTAAATATACGCTTTCCTGCTTTCACGTCTGACCGCCAAACACGGATATTATAATTTGGAATTTAAAACTCGTTGCGGGATACTGTGCCATTTTTGTGTGTGAATTAACAACAACGGTATGTGTTTTTTGTTGTTGCATAAAGTGGAGAAGCTATTTTGCCTGTAGATATTTTGTGTTGCTTGTGGAAATTATGAGGATCGTGCTTCAAATTTGCACAAATCATAATGTTTACATATTGCTTTTTACGTACAATACATGTACTGCGTGTTTGCATATTGTCATGTGAAATGTCATTTCTGAACACAATATTATTTTTTCAACCTATGCAAGCTATGATCGTAGGCCTACCAAAGAGTGATGCCTGTTACATAAGGCGTTGGTGGTCCTGAGCGACAAAAATAACAACCCTGCTTGTGAAAATCATTTTGCATACAAAATACAGACATTACATGACTTGTATTTACATACCAGCGACACTAGATACGATATAGGCAAAGAGCCATTAATTTCATAAATTGGTTTTCGCCGAGCGTTAATTGGTCTTCAGAGAATCGTGTATCATTTTAGAACTGTGCACGGTGAAGCGTGCTAGCATTTACAACTGTGGCAGCATTTTACGAGTTAATATACTCGTAAAATTCTATTCTTGAACTAACCGATGTAATAATACACACACAAACAACAAGTTTGCATTGTTTTCACAGTTATCTAATGATCATTCGGCTGTCCTGATTATAAGAGAATCAACGAATTTAAGTCTGAATGTGAATCTGAATCATCATGTTGATATTTCTCAAGTTGTTCATGGCCAAATCACGACGTTCTGCTATCCGTGAAAGTATGATTTCGGTCGAAATAGTAGATGCCCGAGTAGATGACTGCAGTGTTTACGTTTATACGCCAATCTCATCGATGAGACCGAGCAAAAAAATACGATTTTCTTGATGAGAATAATCATCGGTTTAAAATCGTTGTGGAGTCAGTTTGGCGGTGTGAATGAGATATACATGTACATGTAAGTGACAAGGTTTAGGATAGAGTTACAGTCACTATAACATCTAAAATGTTAAGTCATCACTCAAAATTGCCAAGGAGTGATGTCTTTTTCTGAATATCAGATTAACACTTTAAAGCTGTGAATATGATAGATTCCTCCTATATACAGTGTAATACATGGCATGTTCAAAGTGTTAATCTGACTATAGGTCCATGATCTGACAGTTTGAAAAAGCTGTAATTCGGTCCTTTGTAATGGTGAATAAAGTTGTTTAGAGAGTACCTAATCAAAATTTCAGCCCTGTAATCCTTGACTAAACAGTTATTACACACTTAGGTGCCATAGACATTCCCATAAGACGGATGACCTGAACACATTGCATGTTATTGTGCTATGAACCCATGGTATACAGTCAAAACTAGCACCCATATATCCGAGGTGCAATTAGCTTACACAGGTCTTTTTTTTCTCTATGCAGGAAGGGCAATAGGGAAACGGGACATGGCACTTTCCTGTGTGTTTCCGTTCTGCTGGTAGATTATCGTTTTAACAGGAGATAATCGTCACAAAGGCGACAGGGTTGGTTATAACTACCCACTTAATGTCTTTTATGCTTTGTTTGTTTTTTAGTTTAAAAGTACAGGTGTTATGAGTGCAGGTGAAGGGATTCTAACTGTGGTTTCGTTGAAACATTTACTATAAAGATTAACAGTGTAGGGCGACTCCAAGCTATTTTTTAAAAAGTATTAATTTAAGATTAAAGTTTATCTGATCATTGTATCTAATATTAATAGCTCTACAAGAGTAATACCTTGGACTAGCCCTGTTATGAACTACGGATCGGAGGCATAATCAGAGTGTCTTTCGATCAGGCATAAAAAGCGATCTGTTGGTCGCCCCGCATACATGTAGTTGTACACCTTCATAATATTTACAAGGTCTTTTGTCACCATGCGGCGATTTGCCTGAACTGATATGACATCATGTAGCCCATTGGCCATTAAAACACTTTGTCATAATAATGAAAAGCGTACGTGATAGCTTTTCATCATTGGAGGTATTTCAGACCAGTGCAACTCATTTTCATCATTTCCTACTGAATATAACATTTTAGAAAATGTTGTAAATTATTGATTGATAAATAATTAGGACTAGAAGGAAATGATTAGCACATTGCGCGATTTTATTTCCGTGGTCACGAAATATGGCCGTGAACATTTATGGTTAACAGTGGACCGGTTTACTAAACATATTCAAATCCATGGATGTTTCTTTCCTGGGGACCTAGTGACGAGGTATTCCATTCACCTGTTATTAAAGAATAAACTACAATACTTATAATCCAGTTTGCATATATTACTTGCTGCTATGCCGGGCAATCATCGGGTGGGCTGTTAGGTTCCCAAGAGCAACCTTTGCTTAAAAGTATGCATATAATTTGAATATATTTGTAAGCCGATCTATTATGTTATTATTTCATGTTATGAAGACCATTCAGTTGCGGATTACTATCTACATTATGTCTGCTAAATGTTTGTATTTACACATGGAAGTGCAGTGTATGCATCGCAAAGTGGCTTAAAAGTTAAAACAGATACAAAGCGAGATACGATAACTATTCTTTTGGAACCAAATGGCGATGATTAAAGAATGGACAATGGGGTTCATGGTTACTGTCTGATATCAGTGGATGGAGGGAAGGGGCACCGTGGATTGGGGAGGGTGGGGCACGAGTCCCCCTTTTATAACCCAACATGGCCTTACTTATACTGTCTTGTCAACAATTGTTTTTATTTTAAAATAGCGCCCCCTCCAATGTAGCCTAGGTTTATATATACAAAACATCATATTTGTAGTCATAGTCAACCCCCCCCCCCCCCCCGTTATGCCCACTCCCTTTTATAACAAATTCTCGACCCGCCCCTATGATGGTCACGTAGATGGTTATGTGATTGTCAGTTCATCTTGTGTAACGAGTAATCTTCACTTCGTTTCACACCAGTGGCTGGCCGATGTGACTTAGGCCGAGTTGATATGCATCCCCAAGTCACGTCACACCAACGAGACCGTTACCAGACCGATTACAGACCGAACAAACAATTACTTTACTATACGAATGGCCTAGAATCGGTCGGTCTGGCGTTAGCTGTAAAGGTGTGACTGAGGTATTAGGTCGGTTATTCACACTGAATTCCAAATCTGTGTTAAAAAGCCCCTCGAATGTGTCACCATCACCATCACTCTTCGATGATGTTTACTGCGGTCTATAATGACTTTCGCTCACAATCATTAACTTCGTTCCATTTAGCAGGTTTCTGAACGAGCATTTTAGAATAATATTTTGATGATTTTGGTCGGATTTGGTTCTGCAAGATTTGCCAAGCTTTTCAACCACACCCCATGGGGAATCTTCATCGTTCAAGAGGCTGAGTTTGTAAGCTTGTGGGTACATAATGAATAGTTAATGCCAATGCCACTTTTTTTAGACACTCGGAAAAAAAAAATCAGATTTGATAGTCGTCTTTTCAGTAGTAATGCCTTTTCTGATAATGCCTCGGGGAAAATGCATGATTTCGTCACAATTTTTATATTTACTTAGAATAATTCTATAGTTAAGGATCTTGAAATTTTCAAGTGTCCATTTAGGAAAATGTCGCTTTTCCCCTAACCAATTTTTAGCTTGGGATTAATGAGAATATAAAAAATGTGAAATTACAGTCAAGTATAGCACCCCTACTCATTCTCCGCATATTAAACACCCTTACAGACAATGGTGGCGCCCCTGAATCTTCACTTACCTCTGTCAATGAATATTAATGATTGTTATCCATTCATGTAGACCTAGGACCTGCGCGTTTTTAAAGACAGAATGAGGAAGGGATTGTCAAAATTATTTTAGTTTTCCCCAGCCCTTTGCTTTTCGTTGAATATCACATATTGAAGACATTTTGCAATTGAACATTATCGTCACTAAAAAGAAAAGAAACAAAGGCCTTTAATGTGTTTATTGAAACAATGAACTGGTAGTTGTATTTACATGGTATAATGTTTATTCTCATTCCATTCCTTGCATCTGTTAGACAATATCAACTCTTATGTAGTAATGGTTTTAATTTGCAGTATTCCATAGAGTTCAATCACATCTGATTCAATCCATCTATTAACATCAAATCAAATACAAAGTCAAAACTGTTCAGTATAGGAGACTTTTTGGATACCTATACCATAACAATGATGACTGAAGCCGACCATACCCCCCATGTCTCGCCTGAATGACTCGCCTGCACTCTTCCATGTTGTTTACGATCTGATTTTGTCTTGATCAATCTTGGATGAATGTTTCTCGATTAAGGGCAAACTGCTTTTGTCTCGCGCACCCAATTCCTTGGCAAGCCCCCGCCAACACGCGCCCACCAGCCCCCGGGGCTCTCGCGAAAGACGGAGCGCGCTGAAGGCTCATGGATCATCGAGAGACGAACAACGGGGAACGTCTGGCTTAAAGATACAGTTGAGTTCTGATCAAGCGATTACATAGTTACAAACTGTCTAGAGGCAATAGAGAAAGGTTGATTACTCATACCATTAAGAAACATTCCGTATGCTCCGACGTCTTTGAATCATGAAAATGATACGAAATGGACTTATTATTCTTGATAAGCACATGTACTTCACATTATTATGGGACTACACCCACATGTGACATCAGTGTTTGCTCTAAACACATCAGCTGCTTCTCGTTATATGTTTAATACTTAATGCGTTTAAAGAGCAATCCTTTTCAGGAAATGTGTCTACTGTGGTATTCTTTCAGACTGACACCAAAAACCAAAAACCAAGAATGAGAAAGCTCACAAAAAGTTTTGTATTTATTTGTCATTTATCATTTTCATATCTTTAATATACTTTTTTTCCATGTTTACCATAACCGGATCTTTCCTTTGAGGTACATGTAGCTTCTGTAAACGGATGGGATGACTGAGCCACACGAACAAAGCCCATTGAAACGTCATCTAATGGCTCCTGAAAATTAATTCTAGTCCTTCCATCATCAACAATGCCAAGAGCATGAGCATGTATCTTGAGAGCAATTTACATGATTTATCAGCAACTATTATAGC